GTCCCCAGCCCTTCGCATTTATCCTCCCCGCAACAAGCCTTTCGCCACCACATCGAGAGCACCACCGGCGGAGACCAAGCCCTCTCAGAGCAGGTCATTATCCCTCTCTCCGTCATTTAGTCCAAGTTTGAGCCCTGGCCACCATCCATATTCTGCAATCGAGTCCCAAACCCGTGCTCAACCCATAAACCGAGCCATCTTTCCCCTTGATTTTAAGCCCGGAAAGAGGTAACCATCAGAGCTCTTTTTAGTCTCGGTTTTGGCTGAGAATTTTGTGTAGATATATGTGATTATATGTGCCTTGTTGTGGTTTAGTTTCAGCCATTGAATATATGAGATTATGCCTTGAGATGGATAAGTTTGAACAATTCGAATCCATGAAACTGCAGCGACTTTGAATCAAATTGTGCCCTAGTTATGCTTGTCCATTCGACCTAAAAATTTACAGGCTATTTCTTGTATGAATGGTGAATATGTTTGTCAAATTTCAGATTATTTTGATAAGTATAGCATGTTGTTGAACTGTTTGAAGTCTGATGTGTAATTCGATTCATATCCCCGGTTTTTAACTGCAACTTTGAGTCGATATATCTCATCCTATGATCATGATACTAGCCTAACATTTTTATGAAATATTCCTATATGTGTTGAGAGTATGTGTATCGAATTTCAGCCTCTGATGATGTGTATTGAATGAGATAAAAATGTTTTGAGTCTCAACATGTCAGTCTGTCATTAGATTCGAGGTTTCTCAGTCTACATTCATGATATTGATTTGAAATTTTTATGAGTATGTCTTGGATGAGTTGTGATTATGTCTGTCAATTTCAGCCTGATATATTGAGTATAGAATTCTAGAAAAAAAATCTTGAAGCTGATGGTGTCATAATCATGTTCGTATGCGTAGTTTGGCTTCAGTGTTGACATGCCTATTATGGTGCTTTTTACCTGAAATTTTAACTGGAGATATTTGAGTATGTTTGCTAATGAACTGCTAAGTTTCAGCATTTTATGACTTATGTGTGATTTTATATAATTTTTGGAGTTTAAGGGTCTCTTTAGATTGAGGTATTTGTGAACCTTTAATAAGATAAAAATTATTAACTGTAGATTAACGAGGAGTCGAGCCCTCTGCCTACCTTCTGCTGATCATTGTGTATCTATCTATCTCGACTGATCAGGTGGGTGTTGATAAACCTTACCATGTTCATTATTCTTTATAATTGTTTGGCTTGATAATCAATGTATGTATGTGAACCATTAGTCTATTGAGTTAGTCCCCCGTGAATGGGCTTGTCCCAACGATTAGATGTGTACACATAGGGCAAAGTAGAAGAGGTAGACTAGATGATTTGTGTTCATGTTGCGATTATGATTTTAAGTCATATTATACTGAATAGACTGCATGATATTCCCACGGTGAGCTAGTTGGTTTGCTCACCCCCATTATTTTTCACCTTTCAGGTTGAGCTGGTGGTCGTGGCACAAGACGGGCGAGTGGGGTCATTATGTTCGATATTATGATCTGTTTATCTGCTTCATGATTTTATTTTGTTGAACTCGTATGATTTGTTTTAGATAGGTTGTTTTGGATCATGAATTTTAATTGGTCTGCATTAATTGAGACTCGGATATTTGATATTATATATTGTTGTGGTCAAGTTGAACTGATTATTAACTCGAATTGTTAAGCATGACTTGAAATTTATTATTGTTTGAGTATTATGTTATAGTTTCAAGACTTATTGATAAGCATGCAATATTATGTTTGGATTTGAATATTTGACTATATGAATATCTGGGATAGTTTATTCCCAAGGCTTAGGTCGATACTTATGCATATGATTTGAATGTTAGTTGAGTAATGCCCGTTAGTCGCTTTCAAATTTAAAATGATTTATGAAAATTTAACTTTGATTTTTGGAATAATTCGGTATTTTGTTTATAAAAATAATGGGGCGTTACAGGTAACGTATGTAGACCTATGGAAGGTAGGTTGGTGGTCCTATTGGTAACATATCTATGGGATCCAGGGACAGTAGTTCGGTGGACCTACGTGCAGTTTGTACATAATAAACCTATGGACAATTAACATGGTAATACATATGGAGTGTTAGTATAACAGAACCTATGGGCAATTTATATATGTTGACCTAGTGGGGATATACATTTGAGTGACCTAAAAGGAGTGAATCATAGATGCAGAGGATAACACACCTTAGGGGTTACGTGGAGGGTTATCAAAGAAGGATCTAGATTATAGATGAGAATCGGTCCCGTGCAGACCTAGGGGGTAGCAAAATAACCGTCGGGCAGACCTTCGGACAGTTGGGTCACCCGGGCAGTAAAATTGGGCAAAGCTTGGATAACAAGTCAAGAGTTCACTATATATAGGTATCACGTACGAAGGAGTAAAGGGTTACACTCTAAGTTTTACAATATACTTACACTTCATATTCTTTCATATTTCTAGAACTGACTAGATCATCGAAGGTCTACCGTCGAGAACACTCCCGACATGTTTTGCAAGTTACTTCTGGAGATCAATCCAATTCGAGGTCAAAAGAGGAGCAGTTCATGAAGTAATTGCACATCAGCAACCCCACATCTTCCTACTCTTCTCGCTAAGAAAGCATATCTCGCTGAAATCTCCACCGACTAGCCAGGGGAGAGTTGACAGAGTTCTACGTCCTTTCTCAGTTTGAGCTCCCATAAGAATTTCCTATTAGCATTCCCCGGATCCCTGTAAAATCCTATCAATCTCCAACATCTATCACCATTCCCAAAACAAATTCGATAATCCCATTTGAGAAAGTTGTAATAGTTAAAATAAAGGCTCTTTGCAAAGAATTGCTGGCCCCCACTTTTGCTCCTACACTCAATACAAAATTAGTAGCCAAGGACAAAACATATGTATAGACCAAAGTCCTTGGCTATACACTTAACTGTACACGAGTGAGGCCGGGTGTGTCAATCCATACGCTTTCGTCATATTTTTTTTTTTTTCACTAAATACAATATACAAACCGGGAGGCTCAATAGCCCCATTCAGTTCAACTACAACATAATCCATCCGATGGTCTAGACTCCACATGAACAAGCCCAACCAAGAATAAAAAGGTAATACAGCAAACTAAAGACATGTTTTGAATTCTTTCGTCATTCGCTACTAATTTTGCATGACAAAGACAAAAGCGTGTATTGAAAGTTATAACTACTCACTCAGGTTGGTTGATTAAGATCCATCATCAAACCAAACTTCAGAAAACCCAAATATTTGAATAAATAATATCAGACCGTTTCTCACTGAAATCTCCACCGACTAGCCAGGAGAGCTAGATAGGGCTGAGTACGGGACTTGGAGAATTCTGAACCGTTTCGAAAACCGAACTGAAATCGCTCCGAACTGAAAAATAACCGTTGACCGTTTGACTATCTCCGAACCGAAAATATAATTGGTATGGTTCTGGAGATTTCACAAATATCCGTACCGAGAACCGAACCGAACCGTCCCATACTGTACCGAACCGAAGAACCGAAAGTTAGAACCGAATTATAACACTAGATGTATGTTATTAATATATTTTATGTCAATTTTTGATCCTATATAATTTAAGAATTTTTAAAATATAGCAATAACAGTTAAACTTCACTTAAATTTCATGCTTAGTAATACTTGATCTACAATTGAATTTTTTTTGTTACAAAAAAATTATTTAAAATGGTATGAAAGGTTAAAGATATATTTTTTAAAGAACAAACTATATTATATTTTGTTTGAGTTTTAAATTTTTAATATTAGTTGCACAAATTTAGTCTTAACTAAAATTTAAAGTTACTTCTAAAGTTGATTTCAAAATAAAATCTTTAATATGAGGAAATATTGATGAATGTTGGTTTTTTAAAGCATATAAAAATTAAATAACTAAAATTTAGAGTTACTTCTAAAGTTGATTTCAAAATAAAATCTTCAATATGATGAAGTATGGATGAATGTTGATTTTTTTAAAGCATATAAAAATTAAAATACTAGGTAGTTATTCAAAATAAAATTAAAAACATAAGAAATCTTCGAAGATCTGAATCGAACCCTAACGAACCGAACCGTTTCGATAGTCCCGAATACCGAACTGAAAAATAAAATCTCCGAACCGAACAGTCTCGATTTTTTGGTACGGTTCAGGAGATCGAATTTTGTGATATCCGAATTTTGGTATGCTTCCGGAAATTTTTCAATTTCTGAACCGTACTGACTCATGCTCATCCCTAGGCAGAGAGCTAGTCCTTTTTTTTAGTTTGAGCTCCGACGAGAATTTCCTATTAGCTGTCACCGGATCACCGCAAACTCCTGCTAATCTCCAGCATCTTTCACCATCCTCAAGTTGATATTCTTGGTTGAGAAAATATTTAATAGTTACCATAAAGGCTCTTTGCAAAGAATTGCTAGCCCCCCACTTTTGCTCCTACACTCATGCAAAATTAGTAGCGAATGACAAAACATAAGGATAGACAAAGTCCTTGGCTATACACTTAACTAGTTAACTGTACACAAGAGTGAGGCCGAGTGTGTCTATCCATATGCTTTCGTCATTGGCTACTAATTTTGCACGAAAAAAAAATACAGAAGTGTGTATTACAAGTTACGACTACTCACTCAGGTTGGTTGATTACAATCCATCATCAAACAAAACCTCAGAGCACCCAAATATTTGAATAAATAAATATCAGACTGCCAGATTAATTTTGATTACTTGAGCAAGGGAGTCTGAGCTGAATAAAATTAGCAATTTACAAATATTATTACCCCATACCTTCATCACGTTAACTGGAACAAAGTCGGCCAAATTTAATTTCAATAAAGATTAATTCAGTTTCCATCCTCAACAAAAAAACAACAACCAGAGAGACAAGCACTAAACCAAAGGCATACAACAACACACTTATTAACAGACTCCCAAAATCCCTAATACCTCCACGACGAGGTACCAAGGATGGGCCTATCATGCCAGCACAGCACCATCTCCCCCTGCCTCCTCGCCACATGGAACCCCCTCACCCCCGCCCTCCTCAGCAAACACTCCGCCTGAAACTCCGCAAACTTGCTCGGCCNTCCCCAATCCTCGGCCACACCACACACCTCTCTATCCGCCTCATCCACTCACCGTCCAAATTCGCCGCCTCCAGTGACTCCATGACAGTCGAGTACAACTCCAGCCCGTCTATCACCGCCTGCCTGTACGTCCCCGTCCCAGACTCCGCGCACCCCTCCACACCCAAGTGCACCACCACCTGCCCCGCTATCCCGCGCAGCTCCCCCAAAAACCTCGTCCCCACTCGCCGGAAAATCCCGGGGGAAACCAGAACAACCACCCTCTCCCCGTCGAATAGTTTGTCGATTGCCTTCAAAGACAGGTACTCGAAAGTTCCGATTGGCACAAACTCGATTTCGAATCTGATTCCCAACTCGCGCGCGAACTGAGTCAGGTTGTCCTGAATCAGCCGCGGCTCGTTTACGTACTCGTCGGGGACGATTGCCGACACCTTCACCCGAGCCGAATTGGGGATTAATTCGGCCACTTCCTTCATGAAGGAAGCCCAGTGGGCCCCGAGCCCGATCTCGAAATCGATGACGTGGATGCTGTTGGAGCCGTCTAGTGCCTCGAGCACTGCCTGGTTGGATGTGAACGCGGAGAAGAGCGGGATCGGGGACACCGCGGAGAAGGTTTTCTGGGCTTTGATGGTTTGGACGATTTCGGACGAGTTGGCCGGGTGAGTCGGCCGGGTTGATGACCCGGTGATCAGGGACTGGAGGGCCTCCTTGAAGTAGAAGGCGGCTCGCTGGAGAGGCTTACCCGTGGGGGAGACGAGGCGTTGGTTGAGCCGGGAAAGGATTACGTGTCCGAGTTGGACCGAGTTGGTGTCGAAGCACTCGGCGAGTCGGATAAGCTCGTCCACGTAGTCGTAGCCGATATATTCGTTGTCGAAAGAGTTTATGGCGGCCACGGGGTACGTGGAGATGTCCGGGAGGAACTGAGCCGGGTCAAGGGGATTGGCGACAGGTGGCAGTGGCAAGTCGGTGTGAGTTGAGTACTGAGTCGGGGCGAGTTGAGAGCCTGAGTGAGTGATGGGTTTGGTGAGAGGGGCGGAATCGTCGTGCAGGCCCAATTCTCTCATCAGAGAATCCCAATCGTCAATTTGCTGGTTGATCAGCGCATGATCAGTTAAGGGGTCTGGTAATATTTCTGGGGCGGGCTTTTCGGAGATCGGGCTCGGGCTTCGGCGGAGGTCGAGGACGGATTTCGGCTCGTAAGTGGCGGCGGCGGTGGTGGTGGTGGTGGTGGTGGCGGTGATGGTGGAAGTAAGTGGCTTGGGGTTTTGGGTGTTTGCAGGGAAGGGTACTTTCATTTCTTGAAGAAATTAGAGAGAGGGGTAATTATTAAGTGGAAAGTGAGAAAGTGAGTAAATGCGTATTGAGAAGGCTGAATGGTGGAAAATGGCAAGGGAAGGAGCTTTTTATGGGGCGATGGACATATGATGATGGCTAGCTTTTTCTCATCTTTACGTGAAGGTGGGGGCAAGGGGCGACATGATGAGTGCAACTGTGGAAGGTATGATCTTGTTAAAAACAATTTTAATCTAACTCAAATCTAACTCAATTCCCTATTTTTAATTTATCATTGAAAATATGTCAAATTAATGATATTTTAGATAGTTCATTTTTTAAAAAAAAACAGTCGTCCTTTATAATAATATAGATATAGATAGATAGATATAGATATAGATATAGATAGTTCATTTTAACTATTATTACTTCATTTGAGAAATTGATTTTCAAGATGAACGCTTTATAAACGATGATTAAAATTTTTATATATTAAATATTTTGTTTATTGATATTATTTTAATATTCTTAAATGCTTTTATGACTTCTTAAGATTCTTAACCGTAAGTATCCTATCAAATAAAATAATTGTTTCAACAATAGTTATTTAATTTTATAAGTTTATTAATAACTATAAGTAAAAAATTTAAAATCGATATTGCTTGTCCTCATAGCGACCACAAATTATAGAAATATTTTTTTTTTTCAAAATAACTTATAAAAAAGAATAAATCGTGTAATAATATGAGTGATGAATTGTCGAATAATTGTTTTGCAACCTAAACTTCTAATCTACTCGATTTCTTTACTTAAAGTAAGATTAGAATAATTTTATGAAATCGTATAATACTAAACCAATGCATTTATTTTCATTTCGAATGAGATACTACTTGAGAAACATGATTTAATTTTGATCATACGATAATCAACAAATTAAATAAGATATCTAGAGAATCATGATATGCATATATACGCTGAAAATTAATTAATTTTTACCAATAAATTATATCATTTATCACCATTACTCATCTATTATTAATAACTATAAGTGAAAAAACTGAAATCGATAATGTTTATCATCTAACGCCCATAAAGTATAGAAACAATCTTTTTTTTTTTCAAAATAACCTGTAAAAAAATGAATAAATTGTGTAATAGTATGACAGATTAATTGTTGGATGCTTGTTTTACTGCCTAAAATTCTAAGCTACTCAATTTCTTTGCTTAAAATAAGATTAGAATAATTTTGTGAAATTGTATAATACTAAAATCCAATCTATTTATTTTCATGTCAAATGGGATTCCACTTGAGCAGCATTATTTAATTTAGATAATATGATTATCTATAAATTAATTAAAAATATCTAGAGAATCATGATAGCTTATATACGTTGAAAATTAATTAATTTTTAACAATAAATTATATCTATATATTACCATTACTCATCTATCAATTAATCTGTATTATACAAATAAAGCATTTTTTATAAAAAAAAAATTATGGAATAAAAACTTTTTATATTTGAGTATAATATTAATAAGAAAATTGTAATTATATATATACAAGTATGTATAATTAATTGACATATAATAAGACATATGACACAAAAGTTTTATACTTAATTTTATTTATTTTTTAAGAAATCTAAAACATATATATATATATATTAAATATATAAAGGAAAAATATTAAATTTGATAGATAGTATTAAAAATGAAATTAAGTTGTAACACTTACTAATAAATATAATGTTATAATTAATAAAAATAAAGATAAAACTTTTAAAACTTGTATTTTGCGATGTAAACGAGTTGAATTGTTAAACGCTTGTTAATTTTTTGTCCTTATTAATTCTAGGTGTAAGTTTTAGGTGATAGACAATAGTTATTTGTACTTTTATCCATCATTATCTTCAAATTAATTAAAGATATATAGAAAATCATGATATGCCTATATATGATATAGGATATTATACCAAAAAGAATAAATCGGCTCACTCAACCGGTTCAACGAGCCAAACGAACCAAGCCGGCTTGCTTGGTCGAGCAGAATCGAACAGGGGGGTCGTGGTGGAATATCACGAGAACAGCGTACAAAGGATTCCGATACGAGGAGAACGGTTCAGTCCCAGTTCTATGGAAGACCTGGTGAAGATCGACCTGTTGAGCAATTGATGGTCGGATCGACCACACCACAGGCTGAGAGCAGTCTGAGGATCAACCTAGGTATGGTCGGGCACGAGAGCCTTCGAGGAGACTTCAGAGGAATCTTTACCCCATGTGCGGAGGACACGTGGCGCGACTTGATTGGTCTATGACGATAACTGTCTCTGACACACGTACACCGTGTGTGTACGAACGGGCTGACCGGGATGTTTTGGGCATCCAGCTCAGCTAATCCGAGCAGCATCTAGAAGCAGGTATCTCACCCCTATATATAGGGGTGAGCTTTACATTTTGAGCACGATTTATCCATTTTTATCTTGAGAATTGAGGAAAGCTTGAGACTGACTTAAGCATCGGAGTCTCTTCACCAGAAATCCCCTCTGGTGTGAGAGTTCTTTACAGGTACGTGACGTTCAACTGGCGAGGAGGAGTTCGAGCTAGCTATTTCCAGCCGGTCGGAGGTTTTGACGTATCAATGTTTAAAATTAATTAATTTTTACTAAGAAGCTATATCGATATATTACCATTACTCATCTATTATTAATCTGTATTACTATAATAAAGCAATTTTTTATTAAAATGTACAGAATATTTTTTTATATATTTGAGTTTAATATTAAAGAAAAAATTGTAATTATATATAATATAATATAAAGATGTACAACTATAATTGGATATAATATCATATGAAAGAACAATATAGAGTAAGAAAATATTAAATCTGATAAATAATATTAAAAATATAACTAAGTTGTAAAACTTACTAATAAGTATGAAAAAAAGCAATAACTAAAAATGTTATAGTTAATAAAAATAAATATTAATATTTGAAAACTTGTACTTATCGATGTAAACGAGTTGAATTGTTACAAATTTTTTAACTTTTTTGTGCTTGTTAATTTTTTGTGTTTATTAATTCTAGGTGTAAGTTTTAGGGTACTGAAAATAGTAATTTGTACTTTTTACATAGATTTAAAATATTCATAGTTAGAAAAAAGTGCAAATAAATGTTAACGTACAAGTATTACAGACATTAACTATGTGAATTAAAAGAAAAAAAATAAATGAGTTGTATGTGAAACTATTATTCAGTTACTGCTTGAAAGGGAACACCATAATGGTGGTAAAATATATTTTTTGTGAATATGAAAATGAATTAGTTACTTAATATTTTGTCAAACAACGGAAAAAAAAAAAAACAAGAAATCCAATTTATCTAATCTTATAACGATATAAAAGTATATTTTTATCAAATATATTATTACTATCAAACACGTAAAAAAACACAATGCATATAAATGTGCTATAATTCTTTCAACAAATAAAATATTACTTGTGAATAAAATAAAAAACAAATAAAACAGTAGTAATGCAATGAGGAAAAGGAAAAGTCTGAATTTTCTTAGAAAAGTATGAATACCAATATCAAAATACAAAAATCTCATAAAATTACTATACATGTTTTCTATAAGAAATTGGTTCTCATAAATAATGATTCCATATTATCATAATATAGACCATAAATTTTAATAATGACTTTATAATAATAAAGTTCATAAATGACTAAAATTATCATAATTTTCATCTGAAATATTTTGACAATGATATGCTTCTCAATATTGTCTCATTATTTTGTTTTTTTTCATTATTATTGAAGAATAAAAAAATGATCTTTATCTTGAATTTTTGAAGCATTATGTATGATGCAAGAAGTTGGACAATAAATGCATTAAATAAGTTATTACACACATAATATTGCGAATCCGAACGATTGTGAAATGTATTGTGATAAACAACTCTAAAACCATTGCAACAACCAAAATGTTCAATGATTTGCAAATAATAGGTTATGTAGTTCGTCTATCTTCCAAAATAAACAAACACTGAAAAGGAAATGTCTGATTCGGATCAAAACATTTTTGAATGTTTGAATAAATTGTCAAGTTTTTTCAGGAATATTTATAATCTTAATTGTGTATTGTGCTCGATCATATGTGCAATTACTTTAGGGTACGTATTTCATGTAATACGTGATGATTTCAAAAGAATAATTTAATGTTTTTGGAGAAGTACATGATTTTGGAATGTTAACTTTTATTTAGAGTGGAATCATTCCCACCCCATGGGGTTGGTATCAATTTGTCTACATGGAGAGAGAGAGAGAGAGAGAGAGAGAGAGAGAGAGAGAGAGAGAGAGAGAGAGAGAGGTAGAGAGGGAGTAATATAGTAGTTTATACAATGATTAAAAAAATCAAGAATTTTAATGACACGGTTCATTATTTCATAGAGAGAATGATGTATGAAATGTTAGTAGAAATACCTGATAATGATCATACAATCATAAAGTTTGACTATAAGTTTGGCGCTAAAATATTTCTAAGTGTTGAATAAAGAAGACATTTTATCAAATTAATTAAGAAGAGTTTTGCAATACTATTAATGTATTGGGCTCCAACGAGTATAAACGTTTCTTATGAGAACGTCAAAACCAAAATGAAAGACAACCACCCTTGAAATTAACATTAATAAATAAAAGAACTCGTGCATCTGTAATATACATTAGGTCCTTATTTAGTTATTTAATGTTTTTTTATGGACTCACGTTATATATATTTTTGTTGGGGTTGTAATATTTATTTAAATCTTTTATATCACAACATCATTATGTTATTTTTTAAAAAAAAACACATTGAGAGATTATTTGTTCTATATTTTATATTGTTCCTGCAATCATATGTTTAATAATTTAATTAATTTATCTTACTAAACTTAATCGGCCAAAAATATTTGTTACCACGTTCATCGCACGTGTACTTTACTAGTATTAATAGATAATACTAGTCGATCAACGTTAAACACTATTATTTTTAATTTTATTAATATAATTAAATAATATTAGTCGATTTCACTATCTTCAATATTATTAATATTATTAAAAAAAAATATCTTCCTCTCCTCTCACGAAAAAAAACCTAGCCCTCTTCTGTCTGTCTTCTTTCCCCATCGTTTTGCCTTACTCGGCACCGGCGAGGCTCGGTCTAGTGGTCGCCCTTGACCGCTCGGCCCGTCCCTGACGTCGTGTGTCTCCAATTTCTCTGCAGGTGTTTGCGATTGGGGGTCCGCCTTGGTTGCCAGCGTGGATGCAATTGCGGTTGTGCGCCCTCGGTTGGAGACTGGTGGTTCTCCCTCGGTCACCGGCGGGTCCTCAATTGGGGTGCTTTGCCCCTCGATCTTCATCTGGTCTGCGATTAGGGTCGGCTTTGCCGTTTCAGGTGGGGCTCCGGTGGGGCTTGGGCTCTGATCGCCGGCGGTCTGCGGTGGGTTGGGATGCGAGTGGTTCAGCGGGCAGGGCGGGACTCTTGCGACAGCGACATCTTCCGTGGGGGAAGTTGGAGTTGAGGAAACCGAGCATATCTCACCCCCCCGGTTCTCTGGTATTGGTGACGGCGGAGATCCAGAACTCCCGAGCTTGACTAGTGGTGTTAGATGAGTTTGGGCAGTGATGGTGTGGTGAGCTGTTCGCTGTTCTCTCGGTTGGAGGCGGGTCGATTTAGGATGGGTTCGGGGCTCGGGTCCAGCTTCTGTATAGGCGGTTTCGTAGTTTCGGTAGCGGTTCCTCGGGCTTGGGATCTTCTTGGGTCGATTGTTTCTCTGCTGACTTGGGCTCGTTGGTTGGCTTGGGAAGGGCCTTATCTATCGATTTATACTTATTTAGTTTTCATTTGTCTTGAGTCTGTGTTCGTGTTGTTTTTTGGTCTAGTTTTGTTGGTTTGGGTTGTTGGCCTCTGTGGGTCCCGACTGTGTGCCGGTATTATCCCTTGAGAATTGTTCCTATACTCCCGTGGGGAGCTTTATGTGTGTTTTGTTGTGTTTTTGGTTTGTGGCGTTGTTTGTGTCTTGAGTCTGGTCCTTTAGTTTCTAGCTTTGCTAATTCTGGTTCTAGACGGTCTTCTGACCTGTCCTCCAAATTTTTAAGTTGTTGGTTGTATTATTCAGTTAAGGGTTGTTCTTTGCACATTTGTGCGTTTTGATATATAAAATGTTCTATCATTTCGAAAAAAATAATAATAATATTAATCGACCATCATTTTACACATAGATCAACTTTAATTCACTTGATCAACTCACATAATTTTAACTGTCTCCCACGTCCAATCATCTATCTCCTACTATTACATCAAATAAATTTTAATTATTTTATTTTTATTATTATTTTAATATAAACTTTTAAATCACACTAAAAACTAATTATACAACTTTTTTAAAATTAAATTGAATCAATCATATACTAATATATATAAACAAGCAAGCCCTAAATCATCAAAGGTTAATTTCCCTTTTTGATGTTTCAACGACATTCCAAAACTTTTCCAAGACATTGAAAATTTATGACATAACAAAAAACGTTTCAGAAAGTTTCATATCAACATCAACTAGGGAATGTTCCAAGTTAACCAAATCGTGTGTCCGTACAAATACAAACTTTTCTTCAGTCATGTGATATTTTAGAAACATAGAAACAGGATATTTTTTGAGACAATGTTCTTCAGTATTATAATTCTTGTCCAACTCATCCCACAACAATTTTGCAGTGCACAAATAAGAACAATAAACGTCAAAGAGCATATTTGACAAAACTGACAAAATAACTTCTCGACCTATTTGATCTCTTTGATTCCACTGAGCAATTTCAGTTATTTTGGGATCCTTATCAGTTGGTTCAGGCTTAGCCACCTGAATTAACGTGAAAATTCCTTTCTTCATAAGACAAATATTCATTTGATGATGCCAACGTTTAAAAAATTGTCCTTATTTTCGGTAAGCCGAATAAATCGACTTTTGAACTCAACATAACACTACTTGATTCAGTGCCAGATCCACTTACCATAATGATAAATTGATAAGAAAAATAAAGTAAATATGTATAACACTTTTAAAAATGAATCTGGACCATTGAATACATCACATCAATGGGCATGATCAAATCGAAATTTAATAAATAATAGTCAATCATTAATGGTAATATGGTAAATAAATAAACATATCATGGTCAAATAGATAGATTTGACCAATAATTAAGGGTAATTTAGACATTTTTCATAAATATACCAACATGTGGGACCCACCACCTATCACATTAACTCTAATTTCCTACACCTACCCGTCACTTACATTTTTCCCCCCCACACACACACACTTCAGATCCGTCACACACACACACACACTTCAGATCGGGCACACACACACTTCATGCACTGGCCGGACCAGCTATTTTTGTCGCAACACTGCCGCATTCTTCTTCCATTTAACTGGTCGATGAGATGACGGATGTAGGAAAGGCGTCACGGCGGCGGATGGAGCCGACGAGACGCAGCGGTGGTCGGAGACGAGTCTACGCAATGGTGGTTGGATGTGAGGCGACGCGGCGGTGATGGACGAAGGAAAGGCGATGCGGCATCTGACGGAGGAGATGGTAGACGAAGGCAACGAGGCGAGGCGGCTGACAGAGGCTATGCGACACCGCAACAGACGGTGGTGATTCGACGGATGTAGGTGAAGCACGACGCGATGCGAACGGAGGCGGCGCGACGTGACGGTGACCGAGACGAGACGGCTGACGGGCGAGGCGACGCAACGGCAGCTGAGGCGGCGTCACAGGGCATTGCGGAGAGGATGTTNGGGGTGGTGGTGGTTGATGTAGGAGATTTTTTTCCTGTTAAAATTTGTTGGATTTGGGGTATTTTTTTGAAAATTTGATATAGTCAGGGGACTCATATGTAATTTTTTTGACCTTTAATATATTTTCAGCTTAATAATTGGGTCATTTTTTATAGTTCAACACTTCGCGCGGTGTCATATATTTTGAATTAATAAAAATTAGATGTGTAGACAGACTCAATTCTATAATTTCGTAACTGACACTGACAGAACCGAACGATCGAAATAACCGAGTCGAATTTTTGAAGAAAAAAAATCAATCCGGCCGAAATTTTTTTTCAAGTAAAAAATAAATTGGACTGAAAGTCGGCATTAAACTGATATAACTAAAATTTTAAAAGTAAAATCATGAAAATCGATCCGACATATAACGATTTGAACTAAAAATTTAGATCAGTCGGTTTCGGACGCTATTGTGCAGTCTGTAAAACATTAATGTTCAAATTATCTAACACTATCATGCACTTGTTCGGTCAATATCGTGCAGTCTGAACTGACTGAAATTTTCTCCCAAAACAAATTGAAATTGAACCGAATTACTTATTTTGTTTGGTAGGTTAATTTAATTACCTTAAATACTAAAATTATTTTATTATTTACATTGATAATATATTTATCATATCAATAATTTTATTTAATGTCTTTATATTATTTTGCTTGAAAAAAATAATGTACGAAATTCCGAAATAGATATCGTGCATTCACATAAACAAAAATGTGCATTTTGTCTAACAATATTATGCACTTTATCGAACCTTGTTTTTGTACTTGTCCAATTATAAAATAAAAATATGTTTAGTACTTATAAGTTTTTATTTGGTATTTTTATATTATTTATTGTTGAAAATAAATAATATATATATATGTATATATATAAAATAAAAATAATATTTGTTTAATAGTTGTGTTGGTTGTATATTAGTTTTTTTTTCTTTTTTGTAAATAAAGACTATATCGTACCTAACTAACGAAAAATCTAACATTTTAAAAAATACAATATGTTATGATGATGTGCATCAACAATCGTGTTAATGTGCATTAGGTCTAACATTATTGTGCAGTATAATAGTTACTAATATGCATGTTGTTAACATTATTGTGTATTCTTTTATGTACAAATCTAAACTAAAATTGAATCAATTTAACTGAAATTTACCCAAATAATTAAAATAATTTATTATTATATTATAAAATTTATTTATTAATTCAAATTTTTTTATCTAATATTTTATATTATTTTATATTTTATTTTTATTGTTAATTAATGATTTTAAATAAATTATACAAAATATATAAAACAATATTTGTTATGATTTTTATAAATTACATATTTGACCTATGGACTAAAGTTTAAGTAATCATTTTTTTTTAATCGCATCTATGCCCCTAAGCAACATTAATTTTTCAAACAAAAACCGAACTCTCCCCCACTCCCTCAGCCGCACAACACCCATTTCAGCCTCTCAGCGGCCTCCGCAGACGGCGGCGGCACATCCTTAGCCCAGCTAATCTCGCCTGACGCTGCGCTCTTCCAGACGCCATCGAAATACGAGCTTGTCCTCAAAATTCCATGGCTTGGTTCTGATAGAGCTGTCGGTGAGAATGGCTGAAATGGACGGCGGCGCGCCGGTGCGACTGCACGGTGCTGTCGAAGGCGGCGAAAGGCCCGACGTAAATGGACGACAACGGGAAGAACGATGTGTGCGGAGGCGCACAGTCGAGGCGTCGGCGGCGACGGCTGGAGGGCTGACGTAAATGAACGACGACAGGAAGAACGGCGTGTGCGAAGGCACACAGTCGAGACGTCGTCAGAGGCGGTGAACTAGTTGGCGTAAATGGACGACGACGGGAAGAACAGCGTGTGCGGAGGCGCACAGTCGAGGCATCAGCGGCGGAATGGTCGGGTGGTCACCAACAGGTAAGTGCAGCAGCTTTGGAGGTGGTGTGTGTGTGTGTGTGTCAGGCGTGAACATGCAATGTGTGTGTGTGCGTGTGTTGGGTGTGTGTATGTGATAAGGATGGTGGTGACATGGCGTGCTGATTTGGCGTGGGTCCCAATTGGTTAGTTGGATGAGTAATGGTAATGTCTATAATACCCTTAATGAGTGTAAGATTTTGATTTTTTTTAACTGTTGGATCGTTGGATTCAACAGCTAAGATTTATTCTCATTTCTTTCACTGAACATCATTCTCACTGGAGCGTAACTCTCTCTCTCTCTCTCTATATATATATATATATATAGTTTTTATTTTTAAAATTAAATTTTTTTAAGAACAAAAAATTTAAAAAAACTATACTGACTGAGTCAAACCGGGTTGACCGGCCGGGTCAATGCTCAGGTTGACCAGGTCAATGTTGGGTTGATCAAATTTGATCGCGTCCGTTGTCACTCGATTCAAATCACCCACTTGGACTGGTTCTGGCTCTAGATCGACCCATCAGGTAGGTTCAGGTTGAAAAACAATGGTAAAAGTAAGAGAGGCGATTAAAAGTGATGAGCAGTTAAAATGATGTGAGTAAAGAAATAGTGAATTAAAATTGATGTGAATATGACTGATTGATATTATTTAGTTATTTTTGTAATATTGAGGAGGGCTGTGATGAGTTAGAGTTTGAGTTAAAAAAAAAAAAAAAAAAAAAAAAAAAAAAAGAACAATGATTCTTTCAAACAGATTGGATATTTGGATACAAATTTGTATCCTATGTACCCCTAAGGGGACTGGTTTCAGAATAACTAACCCATCTGGATTTCCGGATTGAATTTACTCAACAAGCAATGGACGTAGGTCGAGGCTTGACTCATCAATTACCTACATTCGTTGGGACATGCCTTAATATCTTACCAAGTCTTAACTTAAACTTACTAGTCTTATACATATACATAAGCTTTGAAAACTAGCTCGCTTGGCTTCGCCTTGCTTGCCTTGCTTTGAAAACATTTTATGTTTAAGTCTTTCGGTTGGTGGACTTGGCTTGCTTAACTATTAAGGCTTAGTTCATTGAAAGATCATATAAACACCACATAGCATGACATGGTTCCAGTTATGCCACATAAACATGCTTTTAAACAATACAACTCAATTTAGAAACCTAAACATGAACTTGCACCAATTTTCAGCATGCGTGATGAAATGAAAATGCATGTAGTTTTCAGTGTACAAATTACATCATGATGAAACCACATGGAAAATATCCCAAACTCATGCCTCTATAACTTTCATGAAGAACACACAGGAAGATAAAATCATTTAACGGCACATAATACAGCAAACATCCAAAACATAGGTGCAGTGGATAAATGAAGACATACAGCTTGACAGGTCCTCAGTGTATGCAAGATAACCGAATCTACAGACAGGATATTACTGAAATTCAAAAACCCCAAAGGTAGCTAACTAAATTTTCTACGGCCGGTTCGATCCAGTTCTTAGAATTATGGCTTTTCTCGCCAGTTTAGACTCATGATTAACCTATGCGCATTGTAGTAATTTTGTAGACCAATTTCTTGTATTCGCTAAACATAAACCATAGATTAGTCCATAATTATGTACGCAATGCACAAATAAAAAAGGCTGTTTGATTTTCCTGAAATATTCGAAAAGGAAAGATTCTTTACTATATTGTGTCTAAAAGCCAACGTCCCTTTAGTTTTGCTTTCCCGATCTCAACTTTAATCGCCAATAACGTTATCATGATCATCATCGATCAATTTCCAATTATCTTGTCCCAACAAGTCCTCAAAATGTTGTCCACGTACCTTTATCCTTACAGGTCAATCAGGACCGGTCATAAATATTAGGCTCTTGAACAAATTATATTCGACTTAGATTGCAATTTTATCCGTATAGTTTGGGAATTATTAAAAAAAATTATATATATAGGGATTTTGGATTTTATCTAATATATTATTATAAGAGATATAATAAAAAACTGTTATTTTGTTCTGACCTATCGAAAAATTATAAATTAGTTGGATTTCGACATGTGGTCGTATGTGGCATTGTTCAAAATAACGGGCATAGAGTATTTTATCCTACGTGGCTTCCACTACTTTTCATTAAATATTTTACAATACAAAACAAATCCCAAAACTATAAATAAAAGTAACAATAATTAAATTAATAGCTATTATTTAATAAATTATTATATAAAACTACAATTCTTTTTCTTTTGGCTTTTCCTATTCTTCTTTATTTTCGGATGAGTAGCACGTTGTCATTTTTCTCATCCTCTCCAACGACCAATTAGTTGACATATTTTTTTATATTTTTTCAAATATGAAAAAATCCTTAACCGTCTTCTCATGTTGTCGTCGCCCTTGCGGTGCTGGAGGTGGAGGGTGGTTCAAACGGTCTCGCCGAGATTCTAGTGTCGATCTGTGATGGTGCCTTATTCCTTTGGGTGTCGCGGTGGTGTTGGCGTTGTGGTGCTTGTCGGGAGGAGGTTGTGGCTCGGGCTACCTAGTGGTTTGGTCGGGTGGCCGGCGTAACAGATTTCAGGCTGAGGTGTGGGCTGGGGTTGGGGCGGTGGTGTGGTGTTGGGGGTTAGGCCAGCGATCCTCCGGCTTAATGAAAACTTGAACAAAAACTCATAAATTTCGAGATTAGCAAACAAAGAACTTTATTCATTTTTACTGCTATGGCTGCTGAACAAAATGTGCACATACAGCTTATGGTTCGAAATACAATGTAGAGTCAACTATTTATATTAGCTATCAATGATAGATAAGGAGAACAAGTGTCTCATTTTGAACTTGATCGTGTGGCCACAATTTCTCCAAACTGCAGTTGTGATTCTCGTGAGCCACTAAAGCTACATGACAATAAATGCCCCTTGTCCTCATGCACAGACTGTATTTTGTTGCTTGTAGACCAAGTAGACTGTGCCATGTCATCTTCCACATCATCTGCCAAATTATGAAGACTGCTAACACTCCCCCTCAATTCAATCGAGGTCTTACTTGTGACTCCCAGCTTATTTCTTAACCGAGAGAAGAATTGCGAAGACAAAGGTTTGGTGAACACATCTCCTATTTGTTCTATTGATGGTATATGGCAGACTAGAAGATGACCATTTTCAATTCTATATCTGACAAAATGAAAATCAAGTTCCACATGTTTAGTTCTCCTATGCATGATAGAATTTGATGCTAAAAAGACTGCACTTTGATTATCTACCCACACCACAGGGATCTTTGTCAATTTGAATCATATTTTTGCAAGTAAGGAGTTAATCCAAGATACCTCAGAGGATGCATGTGCTAAGCTTCTGCACTCGGCCTCCAGTGCTGGACCTAGATACTGAAGTCTGCTTTTTAAAACACCATGAAATCAAATTCTATCCAAGGAAAACACAATAGCCTGTAGTAGACCTTCTATCATCAATATCTGCACCCCAGTCTGAGTCTGAAAAAGCCTTGATATTGAGGTGATCAGACTTTTTGAAGTGCAAGCCATGGTCCACTGTCCCTGCTAGGTACCTCATAATCCTCTTAACTGCTTTCCAATTAGTATCTAAGGGGCAAGACATATATTGGCTTACTTAATTTACTGCATAACTGATTTCTGGCCTAGTTAACAAGGGCGAATTTACATGTTCTATAAGGGGGNATATGTTACAAATTGGCAAATTAAATTGGCAAATTGGCAAATTGCCCCCCCTCTAAATTTAATTTGTAACCTTTTTGTCCCATATGTTTCCAATTTGTAACCTTTTTGTTCAATTAACAATTAAACAATTCTTTTATTTTACTATAATTTTGTATATTAATTAATAGAGTAGAATGTAATTTTAGTCCTGCATGTCTCACTACCGTAACTTTTTCGTCCTCTTCAAATTGCGTTTTTTATTTTCGTCCCATATGTTTACAAAAAGGTTACAAAAAGGTCATTTTCATACATAAAGGACAAAATTGAAACATTTTTTTGCAAAACATAAATGATCTTTTTGTTGCGAAAAAGACATTTTTGTAACCTTTTTAGAAACATACGGGATGAAAATCAAGATCGCAATTTGAAGAGGACGAAAAAGTTAGGGTAGTGAGACATACATGGCTAAAATTGCATTTTATTTGTATTATCATTCTACAATTTTAATTGACCTATATAAAAGACTTCAACTCTCTTTTATTGCACATGCTAGGGCTGGTATTTTTTGTCCGAAAATCAAAAATCGAACCGAACTGAACTGACCTGACGAGAAAATAAACCGAATCGAACCGACTTGTGTGTAACGGTAACCGAAAATCGGTTACGAAATGTTATCGGTTTGCTATCGGTTCTGAACATATTCTGTCATGTCTTTTTGCCCCCTCTCAACTAATTTTCTGGTTTCGCCCCTACTGATTAAGGTTATATATTGCAATGCCCCCACTGCACTTCTGTATAAGGTCCCATCAGTGGTAGGATTTCCATCTTGCTTGGACAAGTGAAGGGATGAGATCATAGGTGTTGGAACACCCTTAGCATCATGCAATTTCATATTCTTCAACAATTCCAAAATGTATTTCCTTTGGCTGAGGTGTAAGCCCTCAGTTGTTTTAACTATTTGAACTCTAAGGAATTGCTCTATTTCTCCCAAATCTTTTATAGCAAACATTTTTTAAAAGCCTTGACAAAGTCCTCTATCTGAGTGGTGTGAGTTCCTGTAACAAGTATGCCATCAACATATATTAAAACAAACAGGAAACCATCATGGCTATTTTGGTAGAAGAGAGAGCTATCAGCCTTAGAGTCCTTAAATCCCA